AACTATAATATATATATATATATATATATATATATATATATATATATATACTGCGAGATTGCTAAGAATCAGGTTGTGAGATCAAATATATTATTGAGAATATAAATCAAATATTCTCTCTCACTCATTAATATATTCTGACAATGACTGATCATAAAATATGATATCAGACTAATATATTCTGCATGTCACACATTAAAAAGAAAAAAATGTGCTGCCAAGTGATTGCATGTGTAATTTTGCACTTAACAAAGCGATGGATTTTGGAGTTTACCAACGTAAAGAACAAACATCAATTCCATTGGCATCTATTCCATCTTCCTTCACACTTTGTGATCTCACCGGTTGACTTGGGTAGAGACACCTTCAAGGTGTTAGATTTTGTTGTTAGACTTGTCATCATATCAAACTAATCTGTGAGTAGTTCAACCTTGAAATCATATATTTGGTTTGATATTTAATCAACATTTTACACAATGTTTTCTCTATATTTGGCTTTCATCATGCAATTTGGTTCAATAAGATTCTTGATAACCTAATTCAAAATCTTTATCACTAGGCAGTTGTAGTTAGGAACTTCTCACTTGCAGAATAATAATTTGATGAAAGCAATATCTATTTTCAAGGAATAGCAATTTTGGTGAGCATAAAGTTGAAGAAGGATTTGGTAGAAAACAAACAAAAAACAATCATAGAGAAATTTATTTCAGATGTCACTTGTGGAGCCACACAGAAATCACAAATTCTATAGTCCCAACAAAAAGTCAGTACTTTCACTGATGGACGCAATTAATTTGCATAAGCTAATTGGTGTTGCTAAGTCACAAGATTTAAGAATTTAAACAGGTAGAACATGAAAGCAGGGAGTTTCCATTTATTAGGTGAGTGTTGTGATTAGATACAGGCATCTTGTTACTGCCAGGAGCTTCATTTCTTATTCTTCACTCCAAGAAGTGGCACTCTTTCCAATCTTTTGCAGAACCCTGATGACTTCTTCTGATGTAACATTTCCAGTCACAGTGATCTTGTTCAGCTCTGCGTCAAGCCTGTATGTCTCAACATCTGCACCAAACAAATTAAGAATGAGTGGCTGCAAGCTTTGGCAACAGAAGAACACAGGAAATCAATTTATAGTAAAAGAACATGAGCTGATTAATCTTCTTCTCTCTTACTTTGATCAAAGCTAAAACATTTTTTAGTTCATGTGCTGTGTCAATGATTAGATATGAGAAAGATTAGGTGTTTGTAGCAGGAACTTGATTTAGATGAGGCAAACATTACCCTCAATTTTCTTGATGGCCTTCTTGATTGCTTTGATGCACTCCTCACAGTGCATGCCGACCTTCAGCTCCACCAACTGATATCACATACAAGGACATCAGTCGCTTTGGGTTCATCTCAAACTAAGAGAATAGAACAAGCACTAGATGAAACTAAAACAAGGAATAGTTCTGTTTAAAACAGTGAGAAAACCAGAGAGTAACATGAATTGTGCCACCAACAAGAACACACACACACACATACAGAAGATAAAAATAGGTTTAAGCAGGAGCGTGATACAAAAATAAATGCTTACAGCCATTGGACTTCAGTTGCAGAATGAGGAGTTGTGGTTCTTGGGAGAGGATGCAGATGGGTGTCTCCACTCCAGCTTTGGAACTTACATGGCTGACAGATTCCTTTCTTTGGAGCATGGTAATGCTGCTTTCTGTAAAGTGATCTGATTGATGTCAGCCATTTCACTTAGTAATCAAGAGAAGGAATCTGTTTGTGACAAGCTTGAACCGTTCTTTTCCTGAAGCTTTGACTTTAAGCTAGTTCAATCATTATTCCTCTTGCAGAGATTAACTTCAAGAAAATGATGCAAGTGGTTATGCCAAACCTGAAAGGTATCCACTTTATAGGGTTGTGGAAGACTGATGCCCGAGTTCTCAGCCTGTAGATCAGTAGGATCCCTCCAATATTGCTTGGACTTATTCATAATCTTCTAAAGAATATATTATTGGCATCTTAATCTATCAAGTGATATTAATGGAGACGTAATATATAAAATAACATTATTGGGAAACTTTGCCCTGTATGAAACATTTTCTATGGCTCTTACAACCATATCTCATTAACAGGCAACAAAGTATGGTGTTCCAAACAAGATTAGATAAATTCACTGTTGTTTCAGTATGGAATTATGATATACTTTTCATTGTTTTTTACTTGAACTCTAAACCTATTTTTGATACCTCTTCTTTTATCCTGCTGCTCTTGACAAGAAGCTTGCTTAGTAAAAAGGCAAAAGACATGCCACTCAGGCAACAAAATCATCTAATCAAATTTTGTATAAGTAAAAAAAATAACAGGAAAAAGTATATGCTTTTGAGTTTCAACCATTTTTTGGTGTGGAGGAATCCAATCAGCAGAAAATCTAGTGCTTATCCAATTTATGAGAATAGAAGTAAAGCACCATTGAGACATGGTTTGCAAAAAATGCTCCATTTACTAAAAGAGAACCCACACTCAACAGCATATTGCCCACCTACACGGTATACCGGTTCCCTAAAGTGACACACATTCACCCAAGAGATCAAGTCATGATGCATCAGGCTATCCCAACTAATTAATTCTACAAGTAGCTGCACAATTTAAAACACAAGAAAAAAAGAAAACAAAATATTCTTTAGAAAAAAATTCACTTTATTGTTTTCATAACTAGCAGTCTTAACAACCAAGGTTATCAATTCAAACAACAGCAATAGCCAAAGTTGCATGCTAGTTGTTCATCTACATATGTTTTGCTGAGCAAAACAGCAGAACCTTGAGGGTCATTTGTACCGGAATATGCACCACTGGAACTTTGGGACATTAACTTGGCATGGATTGTAGCCCTTATTCATGAGTTCACATCTGATGGATATTTCGGATGGCAGCATTTATGCTTTTACAGTCAAAGTCCATTATCTTCATCCAGTTCTCAAAGTCACCAATCTCCTGTGATAAAAACAGACATAGGAAAAATATCGAGAAAGTTTTAACTTTTATTTCATATATATGTATTCATGAGCATATTAAAAAAAGATAGATAACATCGTTAAACAGTTTCCTCCATTTATTTTTCCAGAAAATAAATAATAAATTATCCTTCTAGTAGGAAGACAATTATTAACTTAAATAAAAGCAGGACAGCAAGCTTTAGTAAATAGTGCCTTACTACTAACCAAAAAAACTATACCAGTTTCTGGTATCAGCCAAAAATCTAGAATGTTAAGGAGCTGATTTAGTGTCCCAAAGATGAACAGTCTTCTGAACGATGCGTCAGATTGACATTAAAAGTTGTTATTTTATTACTCATGAAAACAACACTAGATTCTTCATGAAGCAAAATGGTTAATAGTCTCAATCCATTTCACCTTACCTGCAGTAAAGAAGCTAGAGAACAACAAAGTCTACCACTGAAGAATCAGCCACTGAAAACCACCTAATTCAAATATTTTATCATTTTCCTGGATCCTCACAAAGGTCCCCAGAAATCAATTATAACTCTAGTGCAAATGGACATCAGTTGGTCAAGCATACATCACTCGTACCCTAGAGCCTGAGATAAATAGCAGATGGACTTCTTCTGAGTAGATTTAGTCAAATTTAGATATAACAGTGACTAACAAGGTCTAAAGATTCTGAGAATCACCATTGCCAACGTATATGATAACATAATGAAATATTTTACAGAGCATTTTTAATGGAACAAACCTTTATAACAGTGTTCAGTGCGTGGGAAGCAGCAAGCCACTGGTCTGTTTGCTTCTTGTAGCGCATGATAGTACTAGCTAAAGCACGAATTTCAAGTTCAACTCTCTTCTCATTTATAAATGACTCTTCAACTCCTCCATTAACAGTGTCAACCAGAAGCTCAGAAACCCGCATGGCAGTTCTGAGAGCATTCTTCTTCGCTTTATCTGTGAGACAAAGGCACAGTATGATTAAGATATACCAAGCTCTCCACTTGATTTACTAAACAGCGAACTTGTAACACTAGCTGCAGTATTTTATGTCTTGCATATAAAAGCAGGTGCAGCATCATATATATAGAGTCATTCTAAAAAACATAATTAAGTTATCTAATCTCAGTATCCTTTATAACTCACAGAATACAGAGTTATGTGCAAGATTCAGCTCATGGGCAAGCAGTGCTTACTAGGCCTTTCAGGCTTTGCATCAAATTTCAGACAGCACTCTTATAATTCACACCAATAGAACTGTTATATCTGATCATCCACAAGTATTGCTCCACGAAACTGAAACGTCAAGCCTTGTCGATCCATCAAATGTACAGACCTCATGCAGTCAATAAGTTACATTGAAGAATCATTCTAATGAGAGACATACAAGACTTACATTGATGTTTTTCTTATGAAGCTAATAATCAACTGTTCTCATTATATGGGCTACCATATCATTCTCGAAAGCTTGCAAAACCCTTTCTTATGAATTAGAACCAGGTTATCTAAATGCTTGTTGATAGGGGTAAAAACGAATAGGACACGACGCACCGGATTTGACGTAACACTGCCCCATGACAACCGCCCCAAACGGCGCACCACGCCAAGGGACAAGCATTAATACCAGCGTAACGCGCACCCTCACCGACCGTACCCGCACGGCCTCGTCTTGCTGACCCCGTACGACCGGACAGAGCAGGGGAAGGCGTCGGCCAAGGCTTGCCACATCCTACAACTCGACCTTACCGCGCAACGCCCACAACGGCAACAGACGCGATCAGGAGTACGGCTCTGCCCCGACGGGGTGGCGTCAGGTAACATCAAGCTCACATATAAATACCCACGGGCTCCCAGCCGGCAAGGTAAGCAGACAAGCACACGATTTTCCCCTAAAACTCCCCTCTACACCACTAACTTGATCGTTGGAGGGGTCGGGCCGAATCGCCGACCCGACCTTTGTGCAGGTATTCGGGGAAAGCCGACCCAGCAGCGCGGAGCATCCCGGCCTTATTCCCCGTGATCGGTCGTTCCGAGATCTCAAGCCTGGCAGCCTCGCCTGATCTTAGTCGTTCGGACCCCTGAACCAGCCGCGTCGACCCCCAGGTCACGGCTAAAAAAGTTACTTACCGTAACACTTGTAAAAATATTTGATTACCTGGGATAAGATAAGAGCCGGCATAAGAATCTAAACTCGCATCAAGCAAGCTCTTACGGTATTCAAGTCACATAATAATTACATGATTAATCACTTCAAACCCAACATAAAATTACCATAAATCTTATTAATTGTTTTGTCTTTTGAAACTTTTGTAGAGGTCAACACTCACTATCAATAACAACAGAAGGCATTTCACAATTTACTCCTTTTCTTTCAACTTTCAACATGAGACCTATACAGCGATGACCAACGACCAATTAAATGTAACTCACGACAAGAGATCATCAAATAAGCAAGTACATGGACCAAGGTACTGGAGATTCTGAATTGGTGGAGATGCTGGAGATATACCTGTTTGCTCTCTGGTCCAAATGGACCTCTGTTGGTGTTCTTGGACGATTTGGAGAAGCGACGACTCCAAGCTCCCCATCTGCGCCTTCGCTCCCTCCATTCCTCCCTAAAATCTAAATCAAGAGAAAAATCTATCGCGTAACAAGGATCACATGGCACATCTAAAAACTAAAGGGAAAAAGCAACGAAGGAATCTACCAAAGCGACTAAGCGGCGGCGTGCAGGGCGGGCGCCGTCGAAGAGGCGATCGATGCTAGCCGCGGTGGCGGAGGGGATCAAATGGCAAATGAAGGGCAGCGGATTTAAAGGAACTTGATAGTACCCATTAACTCTTACCCATTCGTACCTAGTCGTTTGATCGAATGTCACATCATGTGGGCCCCACATCATTCCTCCAACAACAGCACAGGTAGCCGAAGACGACGTGCAAATATGCAAAACAACTGCAAACAACCATGGGACCCACGGACGACCTCTTGTGGAGCCAGGGATCGTTCCAGTCACCAAGCAGGTAAGTGAAGGGTAGAACAAATGACGTGTCATTTAGAAGATTTATAGTTTTAAATCAAATTATTAATAATTGCATGCTCTTATATACAGTTAAATTCATCCTCCTATTTATAATATTCATAATTGACGTGTTATGATTTTTTTTTTATATGGGAGAGGCATCCTATGTATTATTTTAGTCTTCAAGAACAAAAAATCAATAATTTTTAGTCCCTAACACAAAAAATAATTAGCATTTCAAGAAAATATTTTTCGCACTATAAAGAAAACACCATTAGCTTCATTGCTATATATATATATATATCATATTTGCTTTTCCCAAACTACTTCTGAGTGAAGAGGACATCAACCCCCAAAACAAAAAACAAAATAGTCCCACCATGCTCTTCTTGTTCCCTTTGCTGCTTTCAGCCATTCTTTCATAAAGAACATGAAACACATGATTTCATTCTCACTTGGCAGTCACTTCCCAGCCTTCATCATCTCCTTCACCAGTTCGGTTGCTGGCTGTTGCAATGCCACAGCTCCAAATTGCTCACCACAGTACTTCTTGTACACAACCTTCAGCTTACCCTTGGGAGCAACCGCATGGGAGTTCACTAAAGTCTGTGTGCAGTCCCTGCAGCATCCAATGTGCGTGCGTATCAGTCAGCATACGATGATGTTATACTACCACTGCATCATGAAGGGAGCAAGACATACAGTAATTGTCGCTCCGTGAAGCCTGTGTGGCGTTTTAGTGTTTCAGTCCACAGAGGAGTCTTCTTCAGAGTGCAGCGGGCTGCGTACACCGAAGCAGCTGCAACCATGGACGGGGAGTGCAGTGCCATCGAGTACTCCACCAGAGCCAACTCGGCAAAGAAGAACACCATACGTTCCATCTGCAGTTTTAGCCACAGATGAGAAGCATGCACATCAACACACATCGAGAATCGTATCCAGCTCTCACCTCCTCGTCACGATGGCACGATGCAGCAGCCTTCAGGAATCTCACGAGAAACACGTACGGCGTCGGCACCGTCAAGTTCCATTCGAGCCTGTCCAGGATCGCTTTCTCCATCCCAAGGATCTGCTCTCTGGTGTACGCCCGATCTGAGATGCATATGAAGTCATTCACCTGCAACCAGAGATCCCCCCCGTCCCTGTTCAGCTCAACGACACCAACGAAGCTTGTTGCGGGCGTGATCTCTATACTTACCTCTGGTGCCCAAATCTCCTCGTACTTGCTGGCAATGAGCATGGCGGACACCCCCACGAGCTGCAACTCTATCCTCAGAACAGTCTCCATGGAAAGGTACCGATCGATGATGTGGAAGGTTAAGTAGAGAGTCTCAGGCGTCAGCTCGAACTTGTGGTGCACTTCGATCAACCAGTCGGCAAGAATAGCTCTCATCTTGGCGTTGATCTCCACCTGGGCGCCCATGTAGTCGTGAGGCCTGCTTGATTGCTGCATCAACAATCGATGTCCTCACCAATGAGAAAGGGGCTGCTGACAAGGTTTTGACCTCGACGATGAAGTACGTACCTCGGCGGATTTGTAGAACGTGTAGATGTCCTCGACGTAATCCACGACGGCCAACTGGTCCTCCGTATCGGCCGAGTCGATGTCGATCATCAAGTCCTTCGGCTTGTCAGTGAGCAGTCCACAGGCAGCCTTGAATGAGACAAACATGCAGATTACAACCAGTGCAAGTATCTACCGAGTAAAGAGATGCTTGGATTGGTCGTATACCTTGCTTCGAGCCGTGAGCACAGATGTGAGTGCAGTAATCTTCTTCCTGGAAGATCTGCTGCAGGATGCTTGCTTAGATTCCTCGTTCTTATCGGGGCTTATCACGATAATCTTCTCCTCCTTGGTGATCTTCTCCTTCTTGCTTTTGATTACAGCCTTCTTCGGTGGTTTTGCTCCACCTCTGCCTGCTGCTGCATCAGGTTGAGTAGCTACAGGTTTCTGCAATTGTGATGATGCAGATGGATCAAACACATGAATCAAACACAAGACATAGAAAGAAGAGACTAGTGCTGATGAGACACCTTATTGGCAGCAGTAGCTGCTGCTTCTGCAGCTTGTGCTTTCGCAAGAAGTTGAGCGCCAAATCTTCTGTAAGAAGATCACAGACGTAAGAGATTCTCGCGACAAGAATTGCATCCATCAAGAGTGTGTTCACTGGATTTACCTAGTAATGGGACGATTGATTTGGGGTTCCTGCTTCCTGATCACATGAAGATGTGGTAGAGTGGCATCAGAAGAATGAACCAAATGACTGTTATGTGAATCTTAGAAGGAAAGGAGGAGGAGGACAGCTGCTCGTACCCTTCCACCACCCGGACGTTGACCAGATTACCGATGTCTCCAAGGGCTCGGCGATTCTTCCCATCCGCCGCCGCATTAGCTTTCTGCTTGCCTGCTGGCACAGCCCCACCTAGTGTTGGCATCACACAAGTAGAAAAGGTATTAAGGCAACGACTTCGAATCCTTATATACGTGCTCGAGAAAATGGCCACAAAGCAGAGGAGTTAACCCAAGAAAGAAGCAGCAAGAACAGAAGTAAATTTCAGATCAAGGGGGAAACATACTCTTGGAACTGAAAGCCTCATCCTCACAGATAAAGGGCAAGAAGATGAGAAGAATAAATGGACCAGAAATCAGCAAAAAACTTCCTCTTTGGAGTTCGGAGCTTCTAAAGGTATGTCATCAAGCACATATGAGAAGAAATTCCCTCTCAAATAGAGGAAAGAAATCGGCATCAGAGAGGACAATCGATAAAGACTGGTCCTGATCGAACAAGAGCGATATCAGTCGAACAGAAACCGAAGAACGATCAGAAGAAAGTAGACAAAAAGATGCAGCCCAAATTGAGAAAAAAATCCACATCAGAGGGAAGACTCGTTCAAAGATTGATCCTGATCCAACAGGACTGATCTCAATGGGTGCGAAAAGAGACTTTTATAGGGTACTATGATCATCATCAGACCATAAAAGATGCTTCTTTTACAAGATGTTAACTTAATCCAATAGAACAGAGACCAAACAAGGACGGGAGAAGAAAGAAGATAAAAATCTGATCGAGTACAGAGGGTTTCTTGATACCCTGTCCTTGTGGAGAAACCGTTACCTCTCTGTTGCTGCGAGACGACGGCCTGACTCCTGGACGCCATGTCTTCTCCCCCTTCGTCGCCGCTTCCTTCTTCTTGGCTCTGGCGAAAGAGAGTCGAGAACAGGGACGAGAGGAACGATTGGAGGCGAGCCGCCTTCGACTCCCCGTTCCCTTGCGCTGTCGGATTGGCCGCCACTCTCTCTTTCTCTCCCTCTCTCACTCTCTCTTCCCTTCCCTCCGCTTCTCTTCGCTCTTCCTTCGGTTTCGTGGGGTTTAAAGGGGGCGGAAATGAGGTCAAAAGGGGGAGGGTAAATTCGAACGGTCGGATGTTTTCGAACTCGCAACGGTCCGATCCTCGAGATCCTACGGCTGAGGACACGCGCCGCCCACTAAAAGTAGCGTGTGAGAAGTTTGGGTTTAAAGAATTAGCATTGTAATAACCAAATTTCCATGTGTATTTTAGATGAAGAATTAATCCCTAGCGCTCATATAAAAAAGGTAAAATGAATTAATTACTTAAATTACAATTTCTATTTAAAAATATATTTAACAATAAAGTTTTTTTTGTAATTTTCATTCAATTTTTTAGCTTTTTTGAAAATTAAGAGTTTTCGTTAATTTCACCTACTTGGCATTTCACTATTGAATTTGACAGTGTTGATCTATCTTTCAATTTATCCATATGTTCTTTATACACCTTAATATACTTGAATTTATAAAAAATAATCCTCGGAGTTGATAGAAATTTCAAAGATGGAATAGAAGAAAGAAGACGATATCATAATCGTTCGATCGATTAGATAAAAAAAAACCAAAATCTTTATTTGTTACTTGAGTGTTTTGAAAAGATATTTAACTCATTTTCATTATGAATGAGAAAAAAAACTCATAGTTATAAGTGTCAATTTTGATCATCCATCAAATATGATATATTTGACTTGATAATGGACCAGTTTTAGACATGAATTATTTGTTTTAGGACGATGGACGTATCCACACAATTTTATCCTTCTAAAGCATAGAAAAATTCGAAAGACCTATGAATCTTAGTTTTATACTCTTCAAACAATATGAGATTAAATGGTTTTATCACTTGAGATAAGACCAGTGATTAAAGATATTCTCCGAATCATGCCGATGGGGCAAATCCGTGACATTTCCTTCACATAGAGCATCATTATTTCCCCGTGACATTTCCTTCACATAGAGCATCATTATTTCCGGTGGATGCTCTGATCGATTTGATCGTAGCAACCATGCTCTGACCTGCTCTTGCAGTGACAGGACTTCAGGTTTTTTGTTGCTCTTGGTTGGTCGGTCTTTGGTTGATATGTATGAACGGAACTTAGAGAATATATATGACAAAAGAATTAATTATATGTTATGACAAATATACTCCGCTGTGGTGCATCAATGCCTTTGATGTGATAGGCGATAAGCTTGTACTTAAACATGGTTTTGCATATCTAAAATGTTAGTGTGTGGCCGGTCCAACAGTTTATAGGGTCAACAACACAATCTACAATCAACGGTACTAAAAAGTACTAAAAATCTAGCCTGTATAAACCTTTGTGAAACATAATTTAACCCTAAATCAAGTTGCAGGCGCAGTTTAAAGTTCGAAATAAAAAGCTTCTTTAACATAAAAAATCAGAGTAGTCCATTAAATTTGTAGCATATTAGTTGTGTACATCAACATCATTACAAGGATTGCCTACCTAAGCTATCATATCTTTTTACAAAGTACTATAACCCAGTGACGTTATTGTTCGGGCAGTCAAAATATTTGACAAATGAATATGGCCCCAAGTAGTGATCTGACGACTTCTGCAACCGTCGAGCTTCGAGTTCGGTACATGATTTTGACACAACATTACCGCGACTGTGATTCAAGCAGCATATTTGTGGCAGTATTGATGTCATTTCTAGCATGTACAAGTGCTTGTATTGCAGAATCCCTGTCGAATCCCATAGAGACTAATGTTGCAACCGAAGTCTCAGATGGCTCCATGACAGGAATGCGTGGTGCAGAAGGATAACCACCCTGCAAGGCAGTGAAGAATGAGGCTGAAAGATGTACGGCAATGTGACACAAATATTGAAATAAAACAACTTCATCGAAAGACTCATGAAAATAACAGAACACCCACAGTTTACTTTGAGCATCTACTGAAACAAGCACAATTGCTATCCACTCTGATATAACAAGAAAATGATTTATACAAAAAAATGTCTTGCAAATTATATAATCGATATACTGGTTTGTAATGGAGTCTTTGTCCAATTTGACGGCCATTCCCAATATGCACAGAACATTTTTCGCAATAGGCAATTATGGTACAATGTCTGATCCAGTTTTTCTTATACTCCTTATGGGATCAAGATGGTTCCTGTTCTACTGGCCATGCCAAATTCATCCACTTTCATGCACTTATTTGATGCTTCTAAATTTATTTTTCTGCCTGCTTGGTTCAGGATCTACCTTCACATCTGTTGACACCTATTGGTATTTATTTGTCATAGTCATCTGGTTTGCAGGATAATGGACCGTAGCAGAACTTTTCACAAGTTTCTTCAACATGATCTACCATCGAATTACTCTCTTAATAAAGTCACTGCTCTCCTCACAATTTGTTTATCATGCATCATTAACATCCAAATGTATTATAATGAAATCTACTCAGAAATGATTAGTAAAAATTGAAGCAAAAGGCCAAAAATAAATTCTATTAGATCTTCTAACTTTTATGATACAGAAAATTTAAGGTCTAGAAACTTGATAAATGCTCAGGTTAGATCCACAGCTTTTTTCCAAAAAAGGAAATGAAATATATTACTTCAAAATTCCACAAGATAAGCTAGACTCCTCAGAGAACAAAATTGTGGTGCTTGGTTAGATCCATAGTTTTAATTACAGAGAAAAAACTGTAATGCCTTTGATATTGGCCCTGCTTATACATTTGTGACAACCAAATGAGGAAACCAAGAATAGGACCTATCTTGTGAACATATTTCGATTTTTTTGTTTTAGGAACCTTTAACTATATTTCTGAATATTTTAAAGTAAAAAGAAAATTGCATTTGAAAATTCAAAGTCAAAGAAAGAACCCACCCACAATATTCCTATCTCGAGAACATGACCTCCCTCTGACCCTCTTCTGATTTCCATCAGACACAGAATTTCCACTTCCAAGCTTGTTTCAATTTCCATAAAGAAGAGTTAAAAAAAGACAAAAAAAAAGTGTTTCTCTTCTATATTCAAGAAAAAGTAAACATTGTGTGACATGTCCCTGTCTTGCACAAGCCTATCATATTTTTCTTATTATTTGATTTTGCTATCAGAAATCATGTGCTGATAGCTCAAACATGGTTTACTTCTCTATCTTGAAGCTGTATTCTGATAGCTATTTGGCCGAGTTTAAGTTTTAAAATTAACTTTTCTATATAAGATCTTGCTGATTTCCAGTTCATCTAGTCTATTTCCGCATTTATGGAATTTGAGAGAAGATATTATCCGGTCATAATAATATAAGCAGTGAAATACATTATAGATGAAGATATTATCAGGCTTCAATTACTATCATACATAATCTACAAGCTCCATGCTGAATGGCATGCGAATCACTATAAAAAGAAAAACTCCAGACTTGGGTGATGGCGGACAGATTACAAGTTTTAGCATGGAAGAATGAATATATGAGAAGAACAGCTATACATCAATTATAATAAATAAAACATTTAGCCATGAAAGAATACAGATTTACCTCCATCTGATCAGGATATGCATGTACATTTCCTACAATGTTCCCATTTGATGATGTTGGTGATGAACTACTTGAGGGCCAAGATAACCGTGAAAATACTGACAAAAGTGCATCTGGAAACTGCACAATTTAAAAAGTTCAGCTATCAAAAGATACATTTTGGAAAGAAAAATCACGCACAAAAAATTATTGGCATATAAATCATGGTTATGTCAAAAATAATATAAAATAATAATCTGTAACACAATAATTTAAAGCAAAATTTTGAATAAAATGCTAAATCACAAAAAAATACAACTATGCATATCATCGACCCATTGAATTAGTTGAATGCTTTTCACTAGTTGGGCTATCTATCAGAAACCATCTTCATGGCTAAGGAGGATAATATTTTCCTCCAAGGTGCAAGGTCAACATTGCATGTCACAAATCCAAATTCAAAAATGATAAATAAATGAGAGAAGCTCGAATATTAAGATCACAAAATTTTCTTTCTGAACTTCTACCTTGATAAACTTTAACCACTATAAATTTGTCACCTCTGGGAGAGCTAAGCAAATAAACAATGTCGATGAATTCAGAATAATTGTCTCTCACTTCTTAGCTATATTTTGGCATTGCTGGAACAGTGTAAAAACATTTCAAAGGTTTCAGAAGAGTAGACTGAACCAATGCAATTCTATACTCTTCTAGTTATCTGTAAAGTGTATATAAGTCTGGAAGGAAAAATACAAAACTGATAAACTTATATTGACTGAATAATTTGCTTACATCTGCTTGGTCTATTTCTAAATTACATATTTAATCTATGTGTTGTTATATTCCAGTTTCTTTTTTGCTCTTGTCAAGTCAGACACCACACAATTGCAACAATCCTCACATCTGCATACATGAAATACTAGTCATTCGATGATGACTTTGGTTCTCATTTCTAAGAATTCCTATACACTAAATTTTACATTACAAAAGTATTACCAGATATTAATCATTGCATCAGACTTGTTATTATATTGTATTTCATCTAGTGTAGCCCATAGATAGTATCACATAGTTAGATATTAAAGGAGATTTAAGAATTGAGACAAAACCAGTGTCTTGTGTTGTTTGAAAAAAATGAATATAATTTCTAAAATCTCAGTTCAACTTGCGTAATAGTTAGTATATGGTAAAAATAAGATCAAAACACTAACAGTAATGTATAATACAAAATCAAATGCAACAAAAGAAAGCAAAAAAATATTAGATGGTGAAAAAAGAGAACATATTATGAGGAAAAGAAAACAATTGAAGGATGGAGAATAGGTGAGAAATTTGAGTTAATATAATTCCAAAAGCTTCTTCATCAATCTGAGGACTTTTTGATTTGGCCATATACACCTATTAAACCTATTAAGAGTTGTTTAATTATTGTCCAATTCTTAAACAACAAAAATAGTTATATCAAAGTAAATACATATTAATTGCATTTAAATAAAATTTCATATTAACGACATATACACCGTCCCACTATAAATAAAATTTCCTTGGGAAGAATACACTAACATGCATATTAACTGCAAGTAACAGCTTTACAAAAATGACACTAATAAAATGATAAAATAACTGAAGAAATTTTGTGGCATGAACCTTTATTTTGCGGATGCCAAATGCATTAAGACGGTATAAAGACCCAGCAAGCAAACCACATAAACCAGGTATTAGAGACCGTTTCCAGGATGAGAAAAGAAGCTGAAGATAAATATTAGAAAACCAGATGAGATTTTCTGACATCATATGTAAAACTGAATCTTCTACATAATAGATGAGTTTCAATATTAAGTTTCACCTGAAGGCCAGCTAAATATATAAATGATTTGTCAGTGAAATTTATCCCAAATATACGGAACCGCGATGAGACTGGAATATCAAAGTAAAAGGGCATAAAAGCAGCAAATATAAGACCATATGGTCCAGAAGCAAGGTTACTCAACGGATCTGCAAAAAAGTTGATATAAGCTCCCTACTCAAGATAACATAATCATAAAAAAAGCAGCAGCATAAAATAAAACGTAATATCTACCCATCAAATAATCTAAAAAGGAGAATGACAACACTTGGCCAACAAGGTTTCAGAGTCAGCTGCACTTTGTCAGACACTATCATGACTGGTCACCAGCAAAGAACTATTTATGGAGAACATGCCTCAACCAAAACAAATAAAGATATTTAGTTTGATGTAGTTTACAGGCAAGAAAATTGTAGGAAATGGATCCATAAAAAATTCAAAGAAACAAAATCTGGGTAAAAAATCTGATGCTGGATTTTGTTATCAGATAATCATTTACGCGTTAACTTCCTTTAAATAATCAAAGAATTTCACTTCCTACTTGTTGTAGCTGATGCTTTTTCTGATCCCTTTTGCTGAATGAGCACCACTTTAGTAAGAAAGGGGAAAGAGATCAGGTTGTTCCACTAACTAGATAACTTTTCTTTCGATAGTCACTTTAGAGAAAACTAATAGCTGGAATGATTTCAAAAAAAGGGTGGCCTATGGTCCTGGGAATAATATCAAGAAGATACATTAGCACTCCAGCTTGATGTAGTAAGCCCTCCGTTCAAATTTCTAGAATCTTATGCAAATAAATTTCAAGGTGGAAAGATGTGATAGGGGTGTGAATAAATGATCATATTTAAAAAAAAAGAAAGATATATCCATTACATTAAATGGTGTACATGACGCTCACATGTGAACTCAAACTTGAGACCTATCACTTGTACAACAATGCACTAACCAATCCAGATGTCTCAATAGAGATTGTGTAAATGATCATTATTGTTCTTTGAAGATGTAACACTCTAGACCAAGGTTTTAATTACTGGTCAGAAAACTATTGGATATGTATGGTATCAAGTGTTGGTATATCATTATACCAAGTATTTAATTACTAGTCGGAAAACTACTGGTATGGTGTTATTATACCAATCAGTATCCCAACCTATACAGTCCAATAACATTAAATAAAATAATTTAAAAAAATGCATAAGTATTGGTAACAAAATATACATTTCGACACCGGTCCGACCTGTAACTGAAGCCTTGCTCTAAATATTAATATGTGCATCATTTGGAATCTCACATATCCATCCAATCATCATTTCCTTTTACTCGATACTAAGTAGGAAATAAGAACTTAAGTTTGGTTTCTTATTTCTTAATAAATTTAAGTCTTATTCCGAAAAAACAGCTACAAAGCATCCACATCAGGCAGCCAAATCAGGGAATAATTATGGCAGGTAGCTTAATAGAGAAACTAACATTGGAAAAATTCTTGGATATTTGACCCGTTAGAGGATGATATTAATCAAGCACCTATACATGAGGTGATTAGGAACCTCACAGATGACGCAAAGGAATTAGGTGCAAAAAAAGTCAGCCAAACACCTTTCATGCTTTTTCTAGATTGTATGACGAGGTGATGTCTCAATCAAATAAAGAATAAAAAGAACAATAAAATAAAGGGTGTTGTTTAGTCCAAGTGTAAATTGCTTCTGAGAGTGGCTGTTCCATCAAACAGGAAAACATTTAGTCAAAGTATTAGAACCTATCAATTTCAGAAAAAAACATAAAAAAGGTGTCAAAGAAAAAAAAACACCTTTCATAGATTGTATGGCAATGTCATGTCTCAGTCCAATAAAGAATAAAAAGAACACTAAAATAAAGTGTGTGGTTTAGTCTGAAGTGTAAATTGCTTCTGAAAGTGGCTGTTCTAGCAACCGGGAAAATATTTAATCAAAGTATTAGAACCTAACAATTTCAGAAGATAACATAAAAAAAGGTGTCAAAGAAAGAAAAAAAGCTAACAAAAAAAGTAGACATAGCAAAAAGAAGAATGTCAAAATAAGATACTATTTTTGCAAGCTGAAACTACTGCCCTTCAAACAAGTAATACATGCTAAACCAAAGTGATTTGCTGATAGTGCATACCTTTGAGGTACGCCAAAGCTAGAATCTCCAGTAATAATGACAATATGACAGAGAATAATATGAAGATCTGCATATCAAACATCAGCAGCAGCACAACAAAGTCAGAAGAAGAATGATAAGACTTTGCAGTAAACACATACACTTTGTAAAGTAAATTAATTCACTTTGATGAAAGCTTCAAGTGGAAGATGAAGATGGAGTTGTGGATATTTCTGTACAATCATTAGTTCATAAGCAACACACTTACTGTATGTTTATTTGAGCCTATCTGCCTCTCGAAGACCCTAAAGTAATATAGCAGATAGAGACCAAAAATCATCTCAGGTGTTGATGAGAAAGAGAAGATGGAGGCAAGAAACTTCCATAGTTGGAACTTTTGAAATATGTCCTGCCATAACACATGCAGAAGAAACTGAATAAGCTTCGAGAATAGAATCCCCAAGATTGCTAACAAATAATTCCATTTACCTTTGAGGATTACAATTGGAAAGTAAACGGACATAAAATTTATGAGCCAATATACTAATGTAAATGGCCAATGCATTTTGACTTAATACAAGAAAGTTAAGAAAAAGAAAGAGCAGACAGGTGATATTCATCCTTCCTTTCTGAATCTCAAAATTTGTCCATTTTCCCCAGGATAATCACCACGTTCCCCGAAACACCATATAGTTGTCGGTATTACTTAAAGTAAAACCAGAATGAATAACCCAAACTCATCCACCCTCCAAACACCACTCGGAAACTCACATAGAGACCCAAGTCGACAGATTTAGTTCAATAATGTGCCTTTGTCTTACATTTGGTAAAAACTAATTCCTAAAAAGCAGGTAAAAATATACATACAGGAAAATTAATGAATAGGTAGTCATTCATCTAACAGATGAATGCATAAATTACAAGACCCTAACGATCCAGGTAAATAACAAGAAGTAAAATGAAACTATCTTAACAATATCTAAATTGGCTGTCCAATTTACCAGATCGATCAACTCTAATATAGAGATGAAATTTCCACCAACAGAATAACCATTCATATAACAGAGAGGAGGCAAATATGAGATCTGAGGAAAAAGGCTAAACCTGATACGACAATCCAAGCTTGAGAGAGCGGCCTTGGAGTCCCAACAGAACCGTGAGGAAACCGCTCGCGAAAACGAAGGTCTTCGTCACCGGAGCATTATCTACAAGAGATGGATCAGAAGAGAACGGAAACGAGATCGAAACGAGAAGAAAGACGATGTTCGGAGAGAACGAGGGAAGGGGAAATCCGCTTACGAAAACCAGACGGCCCGCCGTTCATCTTCCCGGCGGCGACGACGACGGAATCAAGAAAGACGGGGCTTCCCTTCCACCTGTTTCTCGTTCCTCCTTTGGGAAGGTAAGAAACGTTATAACGCACCACAACGGATTATAACTGGCGTGATATATCATAAATCATTATATCGGTTGTTATTTAATTCCATTCCAAATGTTATGTTAACGAAGGCCGTTTGCAATATTATGAATATGATAAGGGTGTATCAGAAAATTGACATTGTGTAACCTTACAGTGAGTTGGTTCAAATGTTCCACTGTCAACGATCAAACCAGCTGGCCCGTTACAACGCATAGATTATAACGGGTCTAGCCTATCTTGCCAAAAAAAGAACTGTTTCTGATATTTTTGAACATGTAGGGGCATATCTGATATTTCACATGATGCCAGTTATATGAAAAGGTCAACGATCAACCTGACTTCGGCCCATTTCAAATTGGAGATGGGCTCACCGTCTCTTGGCGAATCAATCGGCCCAACCTGACAGGCTTCAAGGAGTATGACAGACCGAGGGAGAGGCGGGCAAAACGTTCCTTCTTTTTCTTGATCTTTCTCCGTTTATTTCCACAGTTCTCGTCGATCCCGCAGACAAAAGCATGGAGCACGATGGAGGACTGCTGTTCCCCACGATCCACATGAGAGGGAGCCTGGTAAGGACGAACTGCTACGCCTCTTCAATCATCAAGATCACGATCCTTATGAACCAATCGATCCTTTCGCCCTCTGTGTCATCCTTTTTTCTCGTTGCTTTTGACACTGGCATTCTCCTAATGAACCGATTTAGGGCTAATTTGTTGATGGAAAGTTGTAGTAGTTTCAAGTGTTTCTGTGGTATGCTTCGTGATATGTAGTTTATGCATGTTTAGTATGGTGCTCTATAGCTGCTTTTAGGATGGGGTGTGGTAAGGTAACAGGATCCTTCTTTGGCTTTGTTGAGGTTTCATTCTTTGTGGTATGTGCTGTATTCGTGTTATCAGGTGATAGGTAGCCTTACTAATAAATTTACTGTACATAGCAGACAACATGCCTATTAGCTCTCTTAAAGAAGGAATGTGAACCCAAACACAGATATGACAATTTACATGGGGATATAAGTCTCCTAGAAGCACAAAGAGATGCACATTGTAGGTGGAATATAGCTTCTTCTTGTCTATAAAATAACCCTTGGAAACCCATGAAGTGATCAAGAGATTGATGTATGATCGATCCTTCCTATAAACTGCCCCTCTGGAAGAACATTCTCTACTTGAATCTTGTTCTTAGTATGTGCTAATGATACACAAAACAATCTGAATAGCCTCTCTTAAGTTGATTACTAACTTTCGAGTATTGTCATGGAACTTGAGCTTTTCTTTTGTGAAGATAATTCAATAATTGGAAAGCCTGAAATGAGGACAAGAAAGCTGGACAAAATGATGAATGATTCACCTGGAACTGCAAAACCATGTGCAATGTAAATCTTCAGTTGGTGAAGCTAGAGTTTGTTCTTACACTAAGATGTTATTCATATATCTTAAACTGAAATGGAAAAGGGCTTATGGGTTATAATCATTTAAGTTAATTCTGTAGGTCTTAAGGACTTCTGCTCCATTCTATAAACTTGGTTAATAATGACTTATATGTATCAGAGTATGTAGCTCAAGTACTTCACAGATCTAGTCTACAATGTAGACCTACCGATAACATATTTTCTTAATATTATACTATTTTGAGAATTTGAATTTATTTACTAGGTTTTATGTTTTGTCTCAGCTTTAACTTTTTGTTTTTTATTATAACAAGATATTTTTTGGTTGTAAGAAATTTCAGAAAATTAAGTTTTGGTTTGCTATTCCAGTTTTCTGAGCATTTTTAATATAATTTGCTAGTCTATATCTGGAAAACAAGGAGCCAAAAATAATTTATTATCTCTAGGCACCATCTAGAATCAGTCATGAGCGGATGCAGTAACACTAAAATAAGGCAACCTGAGAATGTATAATAAATAAGAAATCTAAGAATTCAATAAGCCCGGTTTTTTTGTTGTTTAGGAAGATGGAATAGATCAGGTTCTGTAAAACTGTTCCATGTGAGGAAGACAAGAGGGCATCCAAGTTTTATACACTGTGACAACATCACAAAGTACAGGATAATGATCAATGTGTTTCACTAAAAAGACAAAATATCAAATTATCATATTAATATGACAAGCATCATCATTAACAGTTGAGGACAACTTCACACATGTGCATAATGCAATATCCATCAAATTAACACTATTCCATTACACTAATTTAGTAAAATATGCATTCATTTAAACATCATGCTACTACAAATTTTTACCTGTCTTGGTATGCTATTAGGGATAGCCATGTGATTTGTATTTACCTGTCTCTTAGGGATGACTATTTGGGAAGCCAAATAGGAGTGAGGAGCAATATAAATGGCTGAAAGGTGGGACTGTGTGTGGCAAATATGAGAGGAAAAATAATTAAGATGAAGGATTTAAGATAGGAGCAACTGAGATGAAAATTCTGAAAGGAATGGCTAGTGCCTAGTAGCAGATGAGATGGCAAGCAGAACTTCAAGAGATGAAGAGATCAGAGTCTTGACATAACGTGATGATGACAGGGCATTAGCATAAAGATGGTAAAGAGCCAAGCGAGATGTTAGAGATGGCAAACAGAATGGCAAGAGATGAAGAGAGCACAATCATGACATAACATGAGATGATAATAGGGCATTAGCACTAAAGATGGTAAAGAGCCAAGTGAGATGTTAGAGTTATGATCTTTTGCAACTCGTCCTTACCTGCTTTTATGGTGATAATAAGCCACATGCTAAATCTAGGGTAAGTTTGATCAGAAAAATTGATCTTTATTTGTGATCCTTTGGATCCAAAGTAGGATTTTCGATCCCACGCAATCCTAAGATTCAGATCTAGATCTTATCACAATTTCACCAATTTCATATCCTACAATGTATTAGATGGTGTTGGTTGGTTCAGGTTTGTTGGATCCTAACATAGGAATCAAGATTTTGACACATAAATTTAATATAATTCATTCATACATGAATGTGTGCATTGGCCTACAAAAATATGAATGATTGTGTATCGGCATATAATGACCCGATCAGGCATCACTCGAGTGCCTTGAGCCTTGCCCACCACCTAGGTGGTAATCAAGATGATCAAGTGACCATGTAACAATACCAGAACAGTAGTATGTTATATTAAATGACTACTGTCCATTGAACAATGTTGTGTATGGACAGGAACAATGGTTGATACCAACTTTCTCATTGGATGTAGTGATTGAAGGATTAAATAAAAGTAATTGTTGGCAATGGACTTGGTATCATCATAGTGCATCATGGCATTTTTCTTTGTGCAGGCTGTGCAATGATGCAGCAGGTTGCTGTTAACCTAATCGCCTCAGAATTAACTCATCAATTTCTATTCTGGGGATGTGAACTATCTTGTGCCAGTCTTCTCCGGTTCTCTCTTGACAACGCTCTTTCAACAATGGACATTCTTTGATGCATAATTCTTGCAGTTCAATGGGTAGGCCTGCCTCTGGCAAGTACTGGACTTGTTGGCAATTGACTATGGTCAGAGTTGTCAGTGAAGAGAGTTCTTGAATCCTGGCAGGCAATAGTTGGAGGTTGATGCAATCAGATATCCCAATAAACTTAAGTGTGATAGGAAGTCCTTCCTCCGGAAAATAATACAGGTCAGGGCAATCTTTGATCCTCAGATGTTGAAGATATGAGAGGTGCTTAAGCTCTTCAAGTAGCTTTTTAACCAGTTTGGAGCATGAACTTATCCTAAGATCTTCAAGTGAGCTGGGAAGCAGGGCTCTATCATCTTCCCGAGTCCCAAGTTTGGGGCAGTTGTAAATGTGTAGGCTCTTTAGTGAAACAAGGCTTCTGAAACCTTCTGTAGGGAGTTTGGCAAGCTCTTGGCAACCAGTGATTGTCAACTGCTCGAGAGCCCTCAGTTGCTGCTCAAGAAGGCCTTGCTGCAATGATGCCAGGTTCACACATTCATTAATTTGCAGGACAGAGAGCCTCGGCAAGTGCAATGAGTCCGAATTCTGCAATCCTGGAAGAAAATTAATCCCTATATCTGAAATCTTGAGCCTTGTTATTGTTCGAGGGAGACTAGGCAGCTCTCTTAGCTTTGGACAATCCACAATTGCAACTTCAGTAAGGCAAGGGAACAACGAAACATAATCTGAGCAAATCCATTCCACAAGATCAGGCATATCATCAAGTAATAGTTCAACCAATGATGGAAACCCTTGGATATCAGCGATACCTGAAAACTCTTCACTGATTCTTATCAATCCATGCACTCCGCTGATATCCAGATATCTAAGCAGGGGCAACTGTCCAAGAGGTGGAAGAACTATGCATCTTCTGCAATTGGACATGTGAATGGTCTGTAAGTAGCAGAATGATGGATGACCTAGCCAACTTGGAAACTTGGTACCCGCATAGCCCATGATTGTAAGCTCCTTCAGATCATGGTGTGGTTGAAGGGCTTCAAGTACTTCCTCGTGGAGATTTTCACCTTCACAGTTGACATTTCTCTCATCTGACCACTCAAGTTTGAGAGTATGAAGGAACTCTTTGGCATATAAGTTAGCCTCACTTGCCTGTTTTCCATTGAACACGTTCTCAAGCTTTTTAATTCGTAGATTTCCTCGAAGCTCGTTCATTTCTTTCAACTCTTTTATCTTGTGTCCTCTAGCCTTGCGAACAGTGAATTTATCTAATTCTTGGAGGCAGGTTAGGTTCCCCAATCCAGTTATTTTGGTGATCAACTTTGTAGTTGCTTCAAGATGTCGCAAATTGATCAGTCTGGTAATGCCATCAGGTATTTTAACCAGTAAATTGCAGTTTTTTAAGTTCAGTACTTGCAGATTATAGAGTTTACCAATTGACTGAGGTAGTGTTTTGATGTCAGTACCGGAGAGGCCTAGGTACCGAAGCTGAATCAAGTTCCCAACTGAATTTGGCAACTCATTTATATCTCTACGATGCAAGACCAATACCCGCAAAGAACTGAGTTCTGTAAAGAGGTCATCTGGGATAGGTCCAGTCTTGGATTTGTATCCCTGAAGTAACAGAAGTGTACGTAGTCTCTTGAATTTATAGAACTCCACAAAGGAAGTTGGCACTGAATTAGCACATGAAAATGATAAATGATGAAGCTTTTTCGGGTCATTGTTTCCCAAATCCTCTTCCATCTTGTGGCATTCTCCAACGGACAGAGACTGTGCAAGCTTATGGATAGCATCATGCATCACATAGTTTCCATTATGAGACTGAAAGAAAGATCTAGTTACTAATTCATCAAAGTAACTGTTCCCTATGTCCTCCAGTCGTTTGCTTCCATGTGGCTGAATGAATCCGAGTGCCATCCATATCTTAACCAATATGCTTCGTTCAAATATATAATCTTTATGAAAGACCGAACAGAAAGCAAAACACTGCTTCAAGTGTGGAGTTAAGTGCTTGTAACTCAATCTTAGAGCTGGTAAAATGTTGTTTTTACCTGGAGTTAACTCCCAAATTTCACTTTTCAGGATGTTCTTCCAGTCTTCTTCATTAGTTTTGGAGTACAGGAGGCTCCCAAGTGTCTTCGCTCCAAGAGGTAACCCCTCCAACTTCTGGACTATATCCCTGCCTATCTTCTCAAGATTTGGGTAAATTCTGGAGTTTCCATTAACAAAAGCATAATTTCTGAACAATGTCCAGCATTCACTGTCTGATAGTTGTTTCAATTTGTAAGGAGATACGCCACCCATGATCCTCCCAACAGATTCATTTTGAGTTGTCACTATGATTTTGCTCCCTCTATTCCCAGATCTGAGAGCATTGCTATATGTATACCATTTATTAGGGTCCTCATTCCAAACATCATCTAGAACGAGCAAGAAGCGTTTTCCTTTGAACTTTTCAACTAATTCTTCATGGAGCAAGTTTAAGTTTCTGGTGGTGCAAGAATACCCACTAGTTGTCGCCTCTAGTGTTTCTTTTGTCAGCTTCATCTCATCAAAAATCTCAGAAACACACACCCATATTCTCAACTGAAAGTGCTCTTTTACCCTGTGGTCATTGTAAACAAGCTGGGCAAGAGTAGTTTTTCCTAGCCCCCCCATGCCAACAATAGGGATAACAGAAACATTGGGAGTTGAGCCGGCATCAGCCAGCAAAATCTTTATTATTTTTTCTTTATCTGTTTCCCTTCCAACTACGTTAATATCATCTACTAGCGAGCTAGTCTGTGGTCGCTCTGTTACCTGAAGTTGGTCTGTCCAATCTAATATTTGGAGGCCGAGACTCTCTCGTTCCCTTGCAATCTTATCAAACCTCTCTCGGATTGCTCTAATTCTATGTCGCAACTTAAACTGTAACATACCATGCCAACAAATATTAGCAAAGCAGCTACATACCTGCATACTTTGAGCTTCTCTTTCCGTCTTCCTCTGCAAGACTTCTGCCGTGTACTTATCCAGCAATTCATCCATATCGTAAGCCACATCCTTGAGCTTTGCCAACCAGTATCTGACTGATTTATCTTTTAATTGCTTCTCCTCTGCATCCTCAAGCAAGGCTTGGATTGTTGGGAGTGTGGTTGTCATATTTTGTAGTTCTCCATGGGCACCCCAAAGTGATCTCGTCTCATGTAGAACAGTAGTGATTATCTTGTCAAAAAGTACCTGCATAAAAGCTCCTAGAACTGCTTCTCCTGCCATTTGTTGATCCTCCTGCAGCTATAGTACAATGGCACAAAAGAAGAACCATAGTGCAGGCAGCTATAGGCCTGAGTTGACTTTTCAAGTCAAGCAGATCGATTGTAGCTGGATTTATTAGAAGTGAGCTTCGTGGAAGCCTTTCTGACCAAGTCGACATAGCTCTAGTGGTCTACAAACTATTCTCATTGGATCATTAAATGCATCTTTTATTAAGTTGATGTTGGCTTTGATAATGAAATGGACCAACTTTTTGTTGACCTCAAGTGTAGAAAGTTATAATCACTACTGTATGCAGCATCTAAATATGACTGTTCTATGCAGGCACAAAGGTTCATGGTAGATGACATATGGATGCTGATATGGTAGAATTGACATGGCCGACAACGTTGGCTTCGCAAGTCGACATGTTGACGTCATCCGATTGACATGTCAGGAACGTTTGGGTGACCAATCGACCACAATGGTCCGCACTTTGTGATATGGAAGACGTGTCAGTTCTAGATGGCAAGCCAGCTAACGACGTTTTACCACTCGAACCCAAACAATCAGTCAATTAATAAATCTAGCTGGCCTTCCCCCATGAACGCCACATGGAGATAGTGATTCGGTGCTAGATGACGATGGTTTCAACCATACGATGGAGCAAAGTTTCACGAGATCAACACAAAGAAGATTCAAGTTGCATCCGACTCGACTTCCCAGTCAAACAACCATAATCTACTATAATTTACTCTAACAGATTGGTACTAGAAGGATGATCGATCATGTCTGAAGGAAATTTTATAGGCCCTAGTCGGTTAAATCCTCAAGAGTCGAATCCCTAAAACAGATCTAGTCTGACGGACCAACCTAGGGTGTCAGCCAGCTTAAACCTACCACCATAAATACTTGAGCTAAATCTCTACTAGTTAGTGTTGGTAGCGAGGAAGGTCGGCAGCAAATTTGACATCTACTTCTCAGCCTAATTCTAGCTTTTCCAACTCAGGAAATTGAAGAGAGGGGGGGATGGGGGGTGGGGTGGTAGCGTGCAGGTGCATGTGATATGGTATAGACAGTGCGTGCATAGACACTCTTTCAATTCAACTACTTTGACCTGCCCAACCACCTGCTGACTTAACCTTTAGAGGAGCATTTGTCGGGAGTGTTTTCGATGTAGTTTTGCATGATTCGGTTCTTATTCGACGATGCAAAGTTTCGTGAGGTCGGCTCGAAGAAGAACCAAGTTAGATCCGACTCAACTTCTCAGTAACAGATGTGAAAATAGCAATTCTACGGAGGAGTCAGCAACAAAGAACGAGAGGAATTCTGCTGAATATTCTTGGATCACTTGGTTCAGCCAAGATTGGCCTTCTGCTGGAGTAGATATGGGAAAACGTCCACACTATCTGGCAATGCTTTTGGAATATTTGCATCCCCTTGCCGACTTGTAGTATTCGCTTCATCTGTTAACAGGTATACAATTCAGTCTTTTGTTTCTGCATTGAGGTATACACCGCCGGTTCGATTTTGAATCGAAAAGCTTCAGTCTTTGCAGATGAGCGTCTCATGAGTACTTGAATTAAATGATATTTTTTGTATGACATTGATAGTGATCCTTTACATCGTAGTCGAGGTGTCAGCACGGCTTAGTTCGATCCCGGATGCGTAAGGTCGCCCACGCGGATGCTCAGGTGGTAAGGGCGAGTGTCGGGTTCGAGCCTCGTCCCTCGAGGGCGGTCTTCTCTCTTAGCGAGTGGCTTGCTTCTCCGTCGTTGAGCTCCTGCACACAAGTCGAGGTCGGGGGGGGGGATTTCCCGACTCGACCCCTCCGACGCTTAAGTTAGCTTTTGATGGAATGAGAGAGAGTTCAGTGTTTGAAGTGCCTCCCTCCCCTGATTAAAGAGAGTTACCTTTTATACCTGCGGGGATGAGTTGATCGTACGGGGTCAATTCACTGTGGCCAGCTCCTTGGGCGGTGGCCGACTTAAGCTTTTGTATAAGCGCCGACCGACCTGCACGGATCGGTGCCACCCCGAGCTTTCCGAGATAGTTGTACCGTGATGATGTCATTCGTACGGAGGGGGTGGCAAGCAATTGCTCGTCACTTGTGTGTGCTACGTGTCACATCGTACTTGAGGTTTCACGTCTGCATCGTCGTTTCTACTTGCTTGAGTCCACGTGGGCGATACCAAAAAATGTCCTATCAGAGATGCATTAAGTTTAAGGGGGAATGAATTTATTGTACTTAGTTTCAGAACAAGGTCTTTTCAGGTTATAAATAATATTGTACAGATCAGATATCTCAAGTTATTCCAGTCAATCCCCAAACTCTCAACTGAGTGGATCCTTTATTGTACGATCGTTTAAATGATCGAAGGTCTATCTATTTTTTATTGTCAATTATGCTTGTGTGATCTTGAAATTATTGTTGCAAGGTATATCTGCACTTTTATCGGTGTCATATGAAACTATACAGATGTTAGAAGAGATCGATCTAAAGAGTGTTATATGATTAAGACAAAAATATTTAAGCTCTTGAAAGATAATAGTCACGACCTAATAAGATATTGCAATGTGGGCTGATCCTTGTTTCATGGACAATTTCAAGTTAGTCCAAGCGAATTGAAAGAAAAAAGATTTTGTAAATAAATTAAATTTGTTCAGCTTATAAGAAAATAATTTCTTAAATTTGTATTGATAGAAGAAATAAAATTATTGCTGAATAATTTTTTCAAGGTAACATTTCTAAAAAAATAAATAGTTTTTAGAGCGAATTCTTAAATTTTTTCGTAAAATATTCAAACATTAAAAAAATTATCAAATCATGTCCCTAACCACGTGGAACGTTGTTTTACCATTATCTTCACGGGAACCATTGTCGTCTTTGTCATTGTCTCTATACTCTCGTCGGAACCTAGAGTCGTCATGCACGCACAGGGGGATGACCAATGGGGTCAACCCATGCGCGAAAGTGTGAGAGACTAGGAGAGGAGACGGGGGGTGACCAACAATGCTAGCTCGTATGTGGAGGTGTAAACGATTATGGGAGGATAGGGTACTAATTAGTAAATCTTATTCATATACTTGAAAAGATAAAGACGATTAAAGAAGAATAGAAAAGAAGACAACTAACGAGGATAGCCCCCAACATAGAGAGGCGATGGCCGATAAAGATAGAATGATCATTTTTTTTAATATTATCCGAATTTTTTTTAAAAAATTGATGTAATTCACCAAAAATTCTAAAACTTATGAACTTCATTCTTTTTTTTATTTAAAAAAAAGAAGAAAAAAAAAGAACCCTACTGCACAAGCATTAATATTAGACGGAAGCAATCCAACCGTGTCGACTTCGAGCCTTGCCTTGTTCTCTCTCGCTGTCGCTCTTCTTCTCTTCCGCCATCGATCCCTCTCATCAATCCTCTCAGTCTTCGGCCTCTCATCCTCTCCAGAGCAGGAGCAACCACCAAACCCTCCCTTCCTCTCCTTCTGATCTCTCGAAGCTTGGAAGGAGAAAAATAGGGTGATCCTTTTACCCTTGTTCCGTTTGGAAAGAATAGAAGATGCCGCATCGGACGCGGCCGATGACGTCGCTCCTGGTGTTCATGGGGTTGAACTTGGTCCTTGTCAACACACTCTCTCCGGTTTACGATTTTGTTTGCTTCCTTCCCTACTGGGAACGCCGGGTACGCTCTTCTCCTTCTCCTTTGATCTAGACTGTAACCGATCCATTTCCATCTTCAGTTTTGGTGTTTTGGTAGCGAGCGACGTTGCTGTGTGTAAAGTTGAAATTAGAAGTCAAATTGAGTTCTATGTGTAAGTCTGATTCGGTCATGGAATTGATTTGATGGGTTATGTACATGGAGAGAACTTTGGCTTAAAATTGTTGGAGTTTAGGGCTAACTGTTAAAGATGTTGCGGTTTTTCTTTCTTTGGACTTGCAGCAGATGACTAACTATAAAAATGAAGCAGTATATGACATGCACAAAAATGCTTTCAATTGATTGATTTCTGCCACATTATTTCGATCTGTCTAGTGTCATCTCTTCTCTTTTTCTTGTTGGAAAATTGGGGAGGTGGTCGTGTTTTTGGGACCGCTCTTCCGATTTTATTTCCCTTTGAGATTATGCATGAAATGAAATATCTTTTTTTTTCCAAGAATTGAAATTTTGGATATACGAGTGAAGCATCTCATGCTGAGGCAAGAATGAGAGCTGGAATAGGGTGTCTTGACCCTTGAGCACTGGATCATTTAAAGCTACTGTGTTCTTGGGCTGCATTGGCCGTAGCAGTGGTGCACAATGTTGGTTCTGGTTTTGCATGAGCCTATGATGAAGTTCTTTTTCTGTTTTAGGTCTTCAAATATGTTCAAAGGTGAATTTGAGTTTTCTAATCCGTATTCCAACCCAAGTAAAATTGGGTGAAACCACACCCAAACCAGACAAATCTGAGTTGGACTTAGGTTGGGCATCTAGACCCAAACTGGTCGATGCTGTAAGTTTTTTTTGAAGTCCCAGGGGCCAGAACTATTCCACCTATCGGATGTCATAATCCTCTCACCAGAGCCTTTGACCAATAGGAAGCAAAATTTACATGTATGAAGACAGATAGGACTTTCATTATGTGATTGGAGAGAACCACTCCTGTGAGTGACCATGTTATGGTGTTTAAATTGGACATGATGGGTACCCAAAACACATTCTATGTTTTTTTATATTCAGTGCCTTAGGCTTCCGACACTGACATTTTGCTAATATCTGGCTTAAGCTCATGTACCTGAAATTACAGCAAAACTCAACCAATCACCAGTGAGGTTGTGTATGGGTTAAGCATTTTTCATGAACCATTAAAGTTCAGTTCGTAACTGATCCAGCCTGAAAATGATTCATCTTAAAGCCAACACAACCCTATCTTGACTCAACTCACATGTGTTGCCAACCTCATTTCCCCCATAATACAAGTGTTCTCTTTTCCTCTGTTTTTCTCCTGTTAATTGCCATATGTCCATTTTTTTCCTGCGTGTGTGATTGTTTCAAAGTCAGTTTGCATTAATATTTATGCACAAGATATTGGCTTTATGTGATTTACTTGCTATCCTATTGCACCTTTGTTTTTGCAGTAAACCTCAATGAATTGATATAGTCTCCTTTGTAGTGTTTTCCTTGTTATTATTGTGCACCGCATCTTCATTATGGTTTGTTCATTTTACAAGTTGAACGAGGATTTGAGTTATTTATGTTAGAGTACAATTTGGTCTAGGATTTAAGTTTATGAAGAACATCGGAGGACTGTTAGTATACTACTATGTCAGAGTAGAAGTTGGACTCAAAATTGAGTTTATGAGATCTCATTCGAGGACTGGTTTTCTAAGAATGTGGTACTGTTGTTCTCTTTTTTTGTATAGGACTATTTTTCTTTGTAGAGAACTGGCTTTTTTTGGTAGAGGACTGTTATTCTAATGGCTTGTGGTTGTATTATTATCATTGTCGTTGATGTCGTAGATTGGAATCAATAGATACTTGGTCTAGTCAATGTGGACTATACACATTATATTTCAGAACTTTATTTTTGGATCTTTTCCGTTGTGTATCTTGTTCTTATCAAGATCTGATGTATTGGTGTGTATCTTGCCATATAGGTAACATGTATCTTAATATTCATGCTCTGTAGCTTGGGGGCAGTAGTAGAAGAGAGTGATGTATTTTCTTGTGTGCCAAGGAATTATTGGCTTCTGGCTATTTATTTGTTTGTGGAAGCTCTTCTTCCTGCTGCTTTCATTTTTAAACATACCGGTATTTGTTCTTAGTTTCCTGTGCTGTTGCAGAGGGAACGACGTCGAAAGGAGCGTGAGGCTGCCTCTGAAAAGGTTTCTCAGACAACTTAGATGCTCTTGCCAGGTTCTTTGCTCCAATTCTCCTTAAAATAGTGGTATCCTGAAACCCTAAATTGATTTTGCATCTTCTCAATACTGGAAACGAACTTATGTAAGCTTCGAAGGGTGAACTCCTTTGAAGACGTGGTTTCTGTTGACACCATCATAGATGGCTATTTATGTAGTGGAGCAAACACTAGGTTATTAGCAAGGTCATTTAGTGACTTATGTTGTTTGGAGATGCCATTAGGCTAAATATCGTATTTCCAAGAGAAAAATATTGTAGTTCCAATTTACTTTGCGGATGCTCCCCTCCCAAGTGGAACTCTGTGCTTTGTCAATAATGCCCTTTGATTGCTTTTACCTATTAACAGCCTATGTTGATCGATTCATGTTATCGTGAACTTTGTGTTATTTTCCTGTATTATATATATATATATATATATATATATATATATATATATATATATATATATACACACACACGAATGAATTTGTGGGTATCATTCATATGTTTGTGCTATGGCTTGCATATTTCAGCACAAATATCACGTAACCTTTAATTCTTCCTTCAGCAGAGATACTAATAATAATAAATCATTACGGGAGGAACTTGTCCTGCCAGAAATTATGATCGATGTTGTCCAACTGATGTATATGATGAATATAATATTCTTTTACCAAATTGGATGACATAAAATAATGTTCAAGGTCCTATAATGTGATTCGTCTTAACCGGTGTGTTCCCAAAAATCTACCAAAGGCTTCCATCTGGGTAATTAGAACCTTCAGAAAGCTTTCAGTCTAGCGAAAGCTGCCTCCGACATAACTTGAGTAATTAAAATCTTCAGAAAGACTTAACACATGTGCACATGTCAAGAAAGGAGTTAAGAGTTAAAACTCTCTTACGAAGTCGAGCAGATATTTATCGAATAATAAAAAAAATCAGAGTCCTTCAGCGTGAAACAAATTAGTTCGAAGTAAATAAGAAAAAAGAGAATAAAGTGTATGAAAGATAAGGCAGTGGAGAGGCAGCTAAAAAATGATATGATAAAACTGAGAATTAACCACCATGTTAGGTTTACTACACAAGCATTTCAGATGCATCAATCAGCAATTAGTCAGTGAAACAAATGGGTCATAGACGCTAGTGAGAAAATTACGTATCTAAAAACCGACACTTCTCCCCCATGTATTACACTTTCAGGAAAATAAAAAACAGAGGCAAGAGAGAAAGAAACCCAATGGCACTGCTTCAAATGAACACAAGGATCAGATTTGAGAAGAGAAACTTCCCTTGATATGCGGTCCAGCATGTTCACAGATATTTTCTTGCAAGAGCTCGGACTTTGGTATCAAAATGTGATGATGTGATGCGCGACCCAGGTAAGTATAGGGGATTTAATAAAATCTGTTCATGTGAAGTAGAAAGACAAGTGATTTAGCACTTTCTTCAATCATCAGTAATCTCAATTTTTTTTTTTTTTACAGGAAACAGAAATAAAAACTCAGCATTGACTACTGGAGTTACTAACTGCAACATTGAAGCAGAAGGAACCAATATTAATGATAGCATGTTATAAAACCAGCAAGGTCGCCCACTGCTTTGACTAAACAGTTGATACCATTAAATCCAACATCAGTCTTACAAAAATAATAACAAAACCATAATGTCCAAACTATTTGGCTGGCTTCCACTACATGGATCCTTTATTTCCATTGAGCTCTATATAAATACATATCTCTAGTTAAATTACGAATAATTATTTTTTTATTTATGATTTCTAGTAAAGTACTACTAATAATAATTGTTTTAACTTTTCTAACCTATAACATATATAACATCTATAGATGTTCTTAGCGCATCCTTGAACGATTTTTCTTCATTTCATCCTCTATTGAAGCTTACGAATGAAAATTTTCTATTATTCTTAATAACTACACACATCCACCAAAACAATCTCTCATTTCAGCCAGCCACAGAAACATCCGTCCTCGTATGCTATTTGTGAATCTCCCATACCTTGCTATGACAGTTATCTAATTTAGAAGTGTGATGATTCATGGTACTACAGTATATCTGGTTACACAAGTATTAGTTAATACTACAAAGAGAGAGAATCTAGCATGAATGATTATTGCTAATGTCTCCATCAATATATATAAGATGCTTTCAGATTCCTAGGGGTGAAGAATTGTGACATTGTTGGGTTATGTATGCAATTTTACCAAAATGAAATTGTTTCTAAATATAACTAGGAAAGATGAATCCCAAGTACCTTTGGCTTCATGCTATATCCTAGGAAAGATGAATCTAAAAACAAGAACTCATGCAAAATATTCACTAACAAAGAAAACAAATAAAAATGTTACCTTTATGTAAAGCTCCTGAACCTCTTGGAAGAAACTCTTTATCCCATCCTCATTGCGGGAATCATGTAGCAACATAAATCTAGTGTGTATGAATTAGGTGTGTTAAGGAAACACAAAAGTGGCTATGATTTTGTTGTATGATAGAACTAATAGATCCTGTATGCGACAACAACACAATTTCATGAATCATGATTTTGCAGAATAGGTATTGACTTACAATTTTGATGTTTGACAATGCAAAAAATTATGTTATGTTCGTGATATCTGTGAATATTCATCAAGCAAGATAGTATTAACTTTGAATTAAGAAATTTTATGCACTTTGCTGACCCATGAAATGAGGACGGATAAAGAAAATGGTAAAGCACAGTTAATGCGCTTTAGAAGTCTTGATCAAATGTTTAGTATGAATGTTTCATCTAAAAACTGTTGTTAGGATATGACCAGCAGTAACATATACAGAGACCACAAGATCATTGAACTTGTCCACTGCCTTCAAGAACCTGCAGGAGCATGAGATGTGCAAAAAGTGCAGGTACATTATCGAAGGGAGTAATGATCAGTTCACATATACACCGAGCAACAGAAAAAATATTGAGTCTCACATAGCACTTGTTGTCCATGCAAGGTCTTCGACAATATCCAAGGCAGCATGTAAAATGAACTGGTGCTGCTGAGCAGCTTCTTCTTTCTGTCAAATAATAAGATAAGAACTTAGTCAACTTATGCAGTCACTTGAATTCCCAACAAGAACTATGAACAAAATTTATATTTATTTGTAGATTAAATTAGTACAAAAAATGCACAGAGCCTAGAGTTGAGACTACCATATGAAGCAACAAAGACATATCTCATACAATACATAGTGGCTATGAAGTCAATGTGTAGTGGACAGGTAGATTCACATCCAAAAAATGTGCCCAAAAAGACACGTATGAAAAAATTGAAACAAACATGCATAGCTCTTTGCATGCATATCTTATGTGCACACATCCGTATTCACACCAATCCCCACATTGCCTAAAGGCTATGACATCATGAGTAGTATTCACTACCAAAATACATCCATTTGAAAAATCTGGAACAAGCATGCATACCACTTATGTCAACATTCACATCAATCTCTATGCTACCCACAAAATTTCCATCACAAGTGATAAACCGTGAAACATTTAGAAGAGCAAGGATTGCTGCTTTGTCCGGTTCGGCTCATGCCAACCAGTAAGGATGTAATACTTTCATTGCAGACATCTTAAGTAAGATAAAGTAACCACCAAAAAATAACCCAAGTAAGCATGTAATACTTTCATTGCAGAGCCAACTTCAGCTTCATAAATTGGAATGTCATTTCTGCTGACAATAATGAAGCACGCTGTATTAGCCATCAAATATTATTCCCAGACCTGAAAGCAAAAACAATTCAGTATAAAACCTCTGTAATGACAAACGTTCACTTCAACATTTTTTTCTTGATTCAAGTAGGAAATCTTGTTTACAATGAGTAAACGCAATTGTACATAGAAGAATGTGAAGGATAACCAAGAGAGCAGATCTTTCAGTAGCAAAACAATTCTGGATCGTAAATAGGAACTACATTAAGCACCAACAACAGAGCAAAAACACAAACTAAAGGCATCAAAACTGTGTCTAATGCTAAAAGAAACTTGAAGTTCAAACCAATTCAAAGGGGGAGAGGGATCAAGATCGGATTTTTTTGTTTTGGCTTATGTCAAAAGGATAATCGAATATCGTGCGAGTTGAGGGGAAGGATCGAAGGCGACAGAGAGTAACTTATCGGCGACATGAAGATAAAAGCGAAAGATCGAGAAAATGGCTGGCCTAATCGATCCGGCGCCGATCTGACCATCTACAGTAAGGAATAACTTAAGCCGGAAGTTTGACATTTCATCCACGAAAACATGAAGAAATTCCAACAAAATCACGGGAAATAATTTCATCGAGAAAGCTAAATTCACATGCAACTTCGATCACAATCAAGAAAACATCGAGAAGAGATTGGCTCCATACCTCGGGTTACGGCCTCGTGAAGTCGGAGTCGAGCTGCACTTGCGAATCGCACTCTCGCCTGCCGCGGACACGACGAAAGAGGAAAGGGAAAGATCAAAAGAAGTAGCTGGTCTATTCGATCCGACGCCGATCTAACCGTCTACGGTCAGGAAAGATGTAAGTCGGGAGGATGCAATTTCAACCACCAAAGTACGAAATAGAATGCAACTTCGATCACAATGAAGAAAACATCGGGACTAGATGCGCTCCATACCTCGGCCACCGGCCTCGAGCGATCGGAGATGAGCTGCACTTGGCGAATCGCACTCCCTCTGCCGCGGTGACTGATCCCCTGCTCTCTCTCTCTCTCTCTCTCCCCGATCCCCCTTTCGACGATTGTCTAGGGATTCCGTGAGTCGGGCCGTGGCCGATGGGCTTACAGTTAAAGCCGCTGGCCCAGATCTGTTATCGGGAACCAACGGATCCAATTCTACGAGTGAAGAAACGGAAACGCGAAACGGGTCAGATCGGACCGCCGGCTCGGTCACATTTGGTTCGGTCGGAACCAGCAACTGATGCGGCTCACTTCCAATGACTTCTTCCATGATCATACTTATCACCTCTCATGACTTCTTACATATTTGATTACATCCCAAATATGGTGAGGTGAGGAGGTCCGCATCAATAATCAATGTGCGAATCTTGAAGCAGCAGTCAAGGGGTTGGGATCAACGACGATGCTCGACGTAGAAGACGGGATCACAGAGATCCCTCTTTATGATTTGTGCAGACGAGAAGATGGAAGGAACCTCCAAAAGTATCCTTTCGTAACGGACGGTAGAGATGTACTTTCATCCGTAATCTCTGCCGTCGGATTCATCATGCGATGGGGAAAAACAAGAAAAATCGTCGGCTACCGAACTCCAACCTTTTGGGTAAGAAAGCGAGCGAGCGAGAGAGAGAGAGAAAGAGAAGCAAATCCACGAATAATTCCTCTGCTTATCCTCCTACTTTCGTCAGCTGGAATCATCTCTCGCTCCGACGTTGGGTCAGAAAGAAGCAAAGGCGGTGCGCTCCGTCCTCTCGTTTCGGGCTTTGGCTTGAAGACAAGAGAGGAAGAATTCCGTAAGGTGAACTCGCTTCCGTTTGTTCTCTTCCCCCCTCTAATTTCTAGTGCCACACAGATGCTTTCTTGTTGGCTTTGGGGACATCCATTGGTTCGTGACGAATGGCTTCGTGGTTTTCTTGTGGATCTAAACTAGATGAGAAAGTTCCCTTGATAGCTGTGGATGGGATATTTGGTGCACACCTTCTTAATGAAATAATGCTAATAAGGATTATAGGCAGGTATCTTATAAGGATTGTATTCTAGCAAGCTTATTGTGGATACCTAGCTCCTTACATCTCTTAACAGGTTGGATGTAAAGTGCATGTGGCTGTTTAGTTGGGAGGAATGGCTTTGGTTACCAGGTTGATGTTGGTTAAGGATGGCAAAGGCTTGGGTTTCTTATCGATCCATATAGACCAGATTCAAGAACCCTTTAATTGGGTTTGAGATGGGTTTGGGTAGAACAATAGGTGTCCGAGTCGGCTTTGGTTCATGTTTGATACCCGATAGTCGGGTTCCTAACATGAGGTAGGGATGGCAGTGGGTAGTTTTGGGTACCTAGGTTAATCCTATTGATTCGGGTAGTGAAGTAGCTACTTGGGCGAGGATTTGGGTAAAATTCATGAGCATCGAACTCGCCGTTATCACTAATGTTGGTCCAAGTTAGCTGCTTATTTGGAGCATTTGAGGTTACCTTTAATTTTATCTGAATATCTCTTGCTGGCTCACAGTTACCTTGCATTTATTATGTGTTTTATCTAATATGTTGAGGAAAATGGTTAAAGTATGTACTAATTGTACCATCTTTTGTTGTAGGGTAATGCCAACCTTTGTGCTCAATTACAATTCATTGGAAATGTGTTCCTAATGTTTATACATTAGTCACTCAGAACCTATGTCGATTTCTTCAATTAAATTGCATATCAATCAGGTAGCACATAAGAAGAGTGATTTAATTGTCATAAGTTGTTATGTAGCTTTGATGAACTTGGTCTTCTAGTGATCCTGTTCCTATTGTCTGTACTCCATATGCGACGTCAAAGGCTTCATACAACTCTAGGATAAATCTGCCAGAACTGTCGGAAGAGCTAAATGTTTATTTGAAAACATGAACTATTGTGAGCTTAAAGGAATATTATTACAACTTGGCATCATATTTTTTGTAAAGGCAATAATGAGCTAAAATATCAAGGAGTTATGGAACAGATTAAAAGCATGATATTAATAAGTTTTAATAATTAATCTTATGCACAGTTATCATGATTTTATATGTGTATAGAAACTATTCTTCATGACTTTTGTCAATTACCTTTAGATCTATATACCCAGGATTGCAGCTGATGTGAAAAGTATAAATGAATTTAATAGCAGTGCTGTCTTTTTACTACAAATTGCAGTATGACACTGTAACAATTGTGCACTCGCTATATTCCAATAAGATTTTTTGGTTCATGAACAAGAAGAATTTTGAAAGTAACTACCAGATGTGGGTAAAAGGAGCAACAAATAATGGCATTACTGACTCTTTCATCTTTTACACTAATTAGAACTTCGAACTTACAGATGTGCAAAAGAAACTGGTTGAATGCCTCTCAGATGTAACTAGGTTTGGCACAAGGAGTTTCTTAGAGGAAGTCCATACTAAGCCCTGCTCCAAACAGAGTTCTTGAAGGACAAAGAGTATTTAATGGTTGACGACTTGGAGTAATTCACCACTCCGACCAGATATGGGCATGCTACCATACTTGTATCATTTAGTTAGTGCAGACCAGTGTTTTGTAGGTAGCACAACTGAATACAATAATGCAACTTAATAGTGATCTTTGTTATCCTAAATAGACTTGTGACATTTAATCTGCACACATTCTATAGGGCAACCGTTGTTTCCAGTTGGACTATAAAAAAGTAAAGGTGCATTTACTATATATGACAATATAACAATGGCTCACTTTGCTGTAAATTTGCATCCATGAATCTACGTCAAATCATTGAAAAGATGTGTATGACTGAGTTTGCATTAGTGCCTATGACTTGGTTTTGTTTTTCAGCACCATTCTATTTAGATATCTAAATTTTTGCAGCCTAGAATGAAGGATATAACTACTGGTCTTTGTATCTCTATGTAATTTTCAACCTTTGATCTCCAGATCGAAACTGTCCAAGTCAAAGCTGCAGTAAAGCATTGATGGCTGCCACTGCCATGTCTTTGTGCTTTTCTAATCGTCCTCCTTGGATGATGCAAATGGCCGTAAAGAATCATGGAATAAAGCCAGTCATTCAGCACAGATCTTTATCTCGATCTATTATCCACAGAAGAAGCCGACACCATGTTGGTCGGCGTACAGGCTTATCATCCCATAGATTTGCTGTGTTTGCAACCACTGAAGGCTCAGCAAAATCAAACAAGTCAGATGAACAGATTCCCTCTTGGGCTAGATCTGATTCCGATGAACCTCCACCTTGGGCTCGTGATGAGGGCGACAAAAGCACTTCTCAGTCATCAGTCAAGATCCCTTTTTTTGTGTATTTACTTGCATCGGCCATAACAGCAATAGCAGCGGTACTTTTCCGACCCTTTTCTTCTCCTTATATTCTTAGTCATCCTGTTTCTAAACCAGTGATTTCCGTTACAGATTGGTTCGGTGTTTGAATACGTAAACCAGAAGCCTGTTTTTGGGGTCCTACAATCAGACAGTGTCTTCTATGCACCTTTGCTTGGTTTCTTTGTTTTTACTGGAATACCTACCTCGGTAAGCTGTTGTTCTTCTTGAATTCACCTTTAGTTTTCTCCATTTATTTGATATTTTTGTTTACATAGAAATATGCTTTGGTTTCCAGGCATTTTTGTGGTTTAAATCTGTGGAAGCTGCAAACAAAGAATCTGAGGAGCAAGACAGGAGAGATGGATATCTCTAAAAGTCAACAGCATTACATGCATGCATTTCCGATCACCTGTTGCAATATTGTTCATAAAACCAGAGTACATACGAATTTCCTTTTTTTTTTGCTTCGTCATATTGATCAATGATGCATGTTCGTATTGGGTGGAAAGTATAAGAGATGATGAGTTAACCGTGGCATTTTATGATTTTTTCACTGAAATCGCAGCTATCAATCATCTGGTTGGTGGAAACTATTTAACTGAAATATTTACCTATCTTTGATTGTGAGCTTGGAATGTGTTATTTGTCTCTAATCCTTTATTTCTATTTGATTCTGTTTCCTATTTCTCTCATCTTTTGTTTTCTTTTCGTATCCTTTTCTTTTCTTCCATGGGTTGGTTTTCTGTATCTCCTCAATTGAAGATGCTTCTCTTCCTTCATCCTAATAGTGGTTTATGTTTGTTTTGCATGTCTTGTGGCTGAATAATTAGGTGGGTTTATCCGGATATACTCGTAGCAAGTTTATATTGTATAATTCTTAGGCAGGTGAATTATATGTCTACAACCAAATGCCGGTGTGCACATATGATTAGTAGTGTTCTAAGATTACTGTTTTAAATTTGGTTTTCGTATGCTCCTTAATCTGTGTTTTAAGATGTTAGGCGACGCACATCAGACTCCTTGCATCGGTGTAATCCCCTCGGTAGATGATTCGTCCAGGCTTCGACCGTTGGTTGATGCAACCCGCATCGGTTTGCGCCTTGAGCCGACGTGTCAGAGCAAGTAATCATCGTCGTTCTGCAAGAATCCTGATCGCTGTCGTCAACATGATTTGGAGGTAAATAAAACTCATCTCGCAATGTACTATAATATCAGTGCCGATGGTCAACATCAATCAGCATCCTTCTCGTTCTGATCCCAGCGACTTCACTGTGTCGAGGCATCCATTTACGCAGTATCGGATCGGATCTGGAGTTGGATATCGGGTCGGGATGGGATGGGATGGGGCGTTAGTTACATGCCCGCATCCGCAATTGGCAGAGAGAAGTTTGAGAGGGAAAAATATTAAATATTTAAGAAAATTAAAATAGGAAAAACCTATACCGATCCCTCTCTTTCACCTCCCTCTCCCCCCGGTCCTCCGCGCGGAGCTTGATTGGCTGATACTCCGATCTTCTCTGGCTGTCTCACCATATCTCCTCCGCGTTCCTTGCTCGGTCACCGCGCCAATTCCTGCACGCTCTTCGAATTAGGTTTAGAAGATTCGAATTTTGATTTCCTCTTTTTTTTCCGCTAATTTTAATCATCTTTTATTGCTTGATCTTCTTGGTTGCCCTAAAAGTATGAGCTTCGAGCCCCGTCACTCGTGCTGCTTAGGAGGGGTCTTACCTTCGTCCGGTAGCAGGGGTTTGGTCCGTCAATTCAGTCGCGTCATCGAGTTCTGCGATCCTGTTCTAAAGGATCCGAGCTCTTTGTTATCGAGAGGGGCTTCTGTAACCTGGTGATTCCTGGAGCACAATGTAGAATGGAATGGGTTCGTTTGGGGATCTGTACCTTCTAGTTTAGGATGGGAAGTAGGACCTTTCGAGTGCTTATAGTATCTTGCAGCTCAGCTTGGAATAGCTTATGGATGTATTAGGCTTCTTACTATTTTTAACTTATAAGCTGTCATCCGAAGATTTTTTCATCTTCATACGTTTCCTCAGTTTCAGTCTAATTGTTTTTTAGATCTCCTCCATTTATCTTCATCATCACTACCAGATTTCGAGTTATCATTTGATTAGACTTTGTCATTCTCTTCTTGAATTCTTGTTGTGTCTTTAAGTTTCTAGGTTGACATGGTCTCCAGCATATACTTAAAGACTTGTGGATCTATCAGATATATGTCTGGTTTTTCTCATTCTGACTGACATACGTATTTGGAAACCTGAAAAACTCATTGCTGCTGTATCATTTTGTTACCTTTTGTAGTTCAGTATTATAAAGATTTTCAGGTTGACTCTTTTTGTGGTTTTGACCAGATTCTTGCTTTTTGTTATATCATCAGACACTTTATCTTGTTGTTATGTGTTTCTTTTCTGAAATTGTGTTGGATACTGAAGGTTTTGTTATGGATCTAGGTCTTGGGAAATGAATCATTTGTCAACTAAGAGTGATATGGAAATGATTCCAGAAGCCCACATGGACATGCTTTCAGTGGATGAAGGTAGGAGAGGGAAATCAGTGAGTAAGGATGGTCAGGTTTTGAAGAAGGGACCTTGGACATCTGCGGAGGATGCACTTTTGGTTGAATATGTTAAAGAGCATGGGGAGGGAAATTGGAATGCAGTTCAGAAAAACTCAGGGCTGTCTCGATGTGGTAAAAGCTGTCGTCTGCGATGGGCTAATCATCTCAGGCCAAATCTAAAGAAAGGTGCCTTTACGCCAGAAGAGGAGCAACTGATCATTAAACTTCATGCTAAGATGGGCAACAAATGGGCTCAGATGGCCACACAAGTGAGTTTTCTTCAGATTATTTAATATACATAATTGGTAATGTTCTCTCATATATTCCTTTTGTCTTTCTTGTTGTTGTTTGACTTCTGCTCTGGCTGGAGAGCTTGTTGTTTAATCCCATAGTATCAATGAGTTCCTTTTTCTTTAATTTTTGACTTGGGCACCATATTTCATATAATGAACCATAATTGTAATAAAAAAATGTTAGATATAGCATCTTATTATGATCACTAATGTTTTGTTCACTTTGTACTCAAAGCTACTGGACTTCTGATTTTGGTCAGAAGTTTCAAGAAGAAAGTAGAAAATTGCGTTAATCAAAACATTTTTTTGGTTTTAATCGAGACTTAATATCTTTATTTATTTTTCTTCTTTTTTCCTTTTTTATCCCTAATGGGATAAGCTTGCTGCCGTGCTGTTTTTACCAGAAAAGAGAAAAAAAAAATAATTAAGCTTTTATTGAGATCTTGCCTCCATCTCATGCTTATTGACCAGTATGTACTGTGCCATAATGTGGTTGGCACAGTAAATTTTATGTATATGTAACGTGTTCATGGACTTTGGAAATATATGTAGGCATTTTAAGTATGGATTAATAAATTTGTTGACTTGCCCTGGGACTATATATGTAGGCATTTTAAGTATGGATTAATAAATTAGAAGGACGATGTTCAGCAATCAATTAGAATGATAACCATGGAAATATAATTTAGGAATGCATCTAGTATCATACATTTGCTACAGGAATAACTCAAGGGGGAAATTTTATGGAATATTATGGAGGTTGTTATCATATTGTGCAGCATCATACATTTACTATAATATATAAAAAAAGTGAAAAAAGAGTTTATAGTATGTCACAGGGATTGTTTATCATATTTTGTGATTGCTGTTCTTGTCTACTGCCAAATGAATATGAAATTACGTGAGATCAATTTTATTGGTTCAGCTTGATGTTATGTCTACAAGTTTTTAGTTGGACTTGAAAGTTACACTAGGTTTCCTAACCACATCATCAGTTTTTTCCAAAGGGGAGTTGATAACAGTATACCTCCTCCATGCATGTGCTGTCTGCTCGTGCATATTGAAGATTGAGCGCATATGATACTTTGATTTGGCACGTTCTTTTTGTAGTTTTTTCGGTATATCTTGATTCCATGTACTTTTCATTGGAAGAATTTGATGGAGCATTTTAATGATTCTATTACTTGTTCCAACATTTTCTGCAGTTACCTGGCCGCACCGATAATGAGATTAAGAACTTTTGGAACACACGAATAAAGAGACTCCAGCGTGCTGGTTTACCCCTGTATCCTCCTAATGTTTGTTGTCAAGCTTCAGATGGAGATCAGCAAACTCAAATTGTCAGCTCTGTAACCCAACACCAGAATGACATCTTGCAGGGAAACAACTTCAATTTTCCTGATATTGTATTTGAGAACTTCGACCCTGATCATGGGGATTTATCTTATGCTTCCTCATTTCCAGATATCTCAATGAGTCGCATGTGTCAAGGGTTTGAATCCCAAGACCATGGGTACACAAATATGTTGAATAATGTTGAACAGCTTCGAGACTCCGAAACCATAAATGTTGGCTACTATAGCACTTTCTACAGTGGGCTTCCCTCAGTATCTCAATTTCCATTTGAGCCATCTGGAAAGATACAGTTAGCATTTGGCTTAGATAATCCATATGATCCTGATGCCAACATCAAGAACCTGGCAACTTTTGGAGGTGAAATTTCTCTCAGCCATGCCTTATCAAATGGCAATTTCTCTGCTTCTAGGCCCCTTCCCGGAGCTTGGAAGTTGGAGCTCCCTTCACTCCAACATGCAGAAATTGATGACAGTAGCTGGACTGCATACCATTCCACAGCACATCTTGAGGCAGTTGATACATATGTTGAATCCTCTCCAACAGCTGTCTCATTGCAATCTGAATGCATTTCACCAAGGAGCAGCGGTTTACTAGAGGTGATGCTTCATGAGGCACAGGCACTAAGCAACTCAAAGAGACATTCATCTCAGAAGAGCTCGAGTTCTTCTGCTATCACACATAATGAAATGTTGGAAAGTTCAGGCCTTAACTTCTTTGATATCGGGTGGGAAGATTGCAATGACCCAATTTCTCCCTTGGGCTGTTCTGCTGCTTCTATCTTCAATGAGTTCATGCCTCCCATCAATGGCAGTTCAATTCATGAGTTTCTACCTTCCGAGTCTACAACCGGTGCATTTTAAATTCTAATGCTTTTTCCTTTTTTTCTTGTTTTGCTTCTTGTACAACTTTCTGCTTTAGTTTTTCTGTTTTCCATAAATTGATCTCAAGTAAAAGTTTCACATGGGCAGTTTCTGCAGGTTCACTAAATATCATGGCTGTTG